ATAGTGTTCGTTAAAAAAAACCAACATGAAGCTGCAGCGAGCACCTAGTACATCTCTGTGATTGGCCCACATATTGATGACGTATTTCAGTTCACCTATCTATTTTTATCGTCTTCCAGGGCTTCCTCGCCAGTTGACGAGATCTCACCGTGACGGACCCGCTTTGCCGCTTCGCGCATTCCAGATCTAGGTTTCATCGCCGACTGTTTGGGCTGTGTCTGCACGCAGGCTTGTGTGTGTGTCTGTGTGTGCGAGTGCACACGCGCTTGTATTGTGTGTGTGTGTATAACTTTGAGGAGAAGGTAAATTTATGGAAGGAGAATGGCTGAGGTTGTTTATAAAAGGTTTACATAAATTAATTTTTTTTTTAAAGCGAACAAACACGGCGAGATCTAGAATCTAGTCAACAGTAAAAGTTACTGGCGAGGGAAACCCAAGAGTCTTGGGGGAACCCCGGAAGACGACAAAATAGATGGCGGAAATACGTCATCTATATTTGGGCCAATCACTCTATGTGCTGCTAGATCTAGATCTAGGTGCTCGCTGCAGCTTCATATAAACAAAAAAAGAAAACATGATGCCCTTATGTTGCGTTCCCAGGGACTCACATCGTAGTATGTGCATGCGAGTAGTTAATAATATTGTAGTACCGACTCGGTCCATCCCGATAGCGCAGTCAAAGGGTCACGGCAGGGTCACTAGAGTCTAGAGACAGTAGCAAGCAATTCCCTGTCCCTAGTATACCAGATAAAAAAGGTGCGGCTTATTTATAAATACAAAAACTACTGTATGTTGAAGGCTTTATATTCTGATTCAAGTTCAGATTCATATTATAATTTAAATCACTCTCCGGGGCAGTCTGGGGCACAAAGTGACCCACCCGAAGAATAGGCCTAACGAAGGAGAAGCAGAGAAGGGAAATCATTTTACTTACTTACAATAAGTTACAAGTACAAGTTACCCATCCTTGAGCCTTGACTCGTCATTAATTTGAGTCATTAATCTAGCTAGAACTAGATCTAGAGTCTAGGCCTTCGTACCCTTGCGCCGTTGGGTACCATCATATTTGGGATCTACTGTAGGAGCATGCTTTCTCTCCGGTCAATTGTAGTAAGTTGTGCAAGTTTACAGTTTCGAAGGATAGGCGTTTCAAATTCAAAATAAGCGGAAGAAAGGAAGAGAGCGGTCAGTGAGTGTAAGTTGTATTGTAAGTAAGAAGAGAAAAATTCTTTACTTACTTCTCAAAAATGTATTTCACAGCATAAACCGCAACAGACAAGTACACTGGAACGAGCAAATCACTCAACTGGGCATGGTAGATACCATTATCTGTATTTTTAAGAACATCCCATGTTCTATTCCCTGGTAACCAAAATGACTCGGCCCAAACAATATCGGACACCCTCTGCAGCAGTTCCGCCATGATTATTGATTGACAGAAGAGAGCAGTGAGCCAGGGCAACAAAGTTGCCAGTTTTCCCAAATGCCAAGTTGTACGCCTTCTTTGAGGGTTTTTTTTTTAATTTTTTTTTTTTAATTCGATTCTTTTATTTAAGATACAAAATCGTAGAACGATAATTCATTTTTTAAATGGACGGCTTGAGCACTCAGAATCATTCTTTCAACAGATGCATATCACCTGTCCCTTTCTCTCAACAAAATAATCTATATTTTTCATTTACCACAACTTTCGATGAGACCTGGTCTAAAGAAAACTTTGCCCTGGCAAGGCTTGACAAATAGTCCAGGCCCAGAGATCTTATAGGCCTATCACCTATCACCAGGGAGAGCTCGGAGAGCGTGGAAGGGGTGGGGTGGGGTTGAGGGTTGAGTGTTGAGGGCTTGGGCTTGGGTGCCTTGTGCCTGAGGCGACATGTTAAAATAATATGTCCATGCACTTAGTACTTAGCCTATGCACGCCAAGAAAAGAACGTAACCTTACGATTATCCATTATTCGCGGTTTATTGGGAAGATACTTTGGGGATAATGAAACCCCTTGTAGCGTTGGCGCCGTCGTTCTGTACCCCAACTGTTACGCTCCAGGTGTTAGTGCTGGCACAATTATACACTATACACGCACTGTATTTATGCAGTTCTATAAGCCATAATAATACATCATGTATGTAGTCTTGTCGACGTGAATACATACACTATAGCCAACACTCCAGCTATTTTTGTTTTCCACCTTCTGATTCACCGTATTTAGACCTATTAATTTCTGTTATTTTCTTGGAATCTGGGGGACATATCTCTACGACCCTCGCGAGATGAGCCTGGTCGACGAGCAGCTAGATCTAAGAGTCTGTCTGTGGATGGATCGAGGCCAAGGGTTCTATAATGGGTATGAATCTAAAGGACCACAACAATTAATGTTATATCACCTCATTGAGGGCCTGTACTAATAAGTCATATATGATAAGATGGGCGTGAACCTCATCAGGGGCCTGGCGTTGATTACCACGGACCAAGGGTATTTTACATGAATTTTTCTAATTTATTTCACCCAGGTGGGAATGGGCACCCGGCTATTAGACTGCATGGTCAGTTATTTAGCTTTTCGTCGTTCTTGCACTATGCCCAGAGACGTTTCTGAGTATCTGTGGAGTCTGCTGGGGTAATTTAATAGCTAACTAGCAGGTTTTATATTGCAGTAGGTATCGCGTGAACTACAGTTCAGTCGACGATTCCACTTGCGTTGATCGAATAAATGGATCTTTTTCTCGGGTCCCAGCACCTTTTCTTGTCACAGGTCCCAACGATGAAGTTTAACTTCGATGAGTTGATCATTTTTTTCACTATCCACGATGACATCATAAGTAGTAGTAGTAGTAGTAGTAGTAGTAGTAGTAGTAGTAGTAGTAGTAGTAGTAGTAGTAGTAGTAGTAGTAGTAGACTAAGTAATAGTAGTACATGTAGTAGTGTAGTAGTAGTAGCAGTAGTTACTGTTGTTGTTGTTGTTGTTGTTGTTGTTGTTGTAACCTGATATAATAATACGCCTATATTAGTAATCTGATTGCCTATTCCCGGGAGCAGACGTTGGAAGCGACCACGACCTTGTGATGATGGCCTTTCGCCTCACCTGGAGAGGGTTGGAAACAGTGGCGGGGCGCCATTGGTGCAATTGGTGCAAGCGCTCCACGTAACCCTGGCCTTCCTTCGCCCCCCTCTCCCCCTTCCCCCTTTTCTAATTATTCTAAACCAGTCAGTGCTCTAGAACTACATACTGGTACTAGCCTACATCCTTGCGACCCGTCACCCGCTGGCTGCGCGCGCGCCAGTGAAGAGACAGACGGCGAGGGGAGTTTAAGCTTGTCGCACCGTTTGCGGTAGTGTCTGCTGGGAGTAAGCAAAATCTTTGCACCAAAGCACAGAATTTGTCACTGTAGAGAAATCTAGGCTAGGCATGGTTCTTCCCGCACAAGAAGAAAGGTGCGTGAAACTCCTCTTTGCAGCACCAATTTGGTGCAAGCTAAAAATTTGATCCAAGTACACTAGGCTTGAGTCTACGGTAACTCATTACTCAATGAAGAATGGGTATCGAAACTGTTGTCTCCCCCAATTGTGTAGCAAGTCCTGTTCAGGGGTAAATTTTCGAATTTAGTCTGGTTGTTGGTGCTGCACGAAGTACATGTAGATCTAATTAGAAATCTTTATATCTTCTCAGATTGTGAGCATAGTGAGTTGTTAGTATTGTTTCATTTTATTGCAGCTTTTATGCGGTTTCATCTAGAAACAGTTGTAAATATAGAAAGATGTAGATTGCGGGATATCTTGCAGATTCTAACAGACTTTCTCTAGAAATCTAGATGAATCACGTTAACGCTTTGCCTCTTGTGCCATTCAGTAGGCTACAGTTAGAAGAGAAAGTGCGCATAAAAAAGCTTGGTCCATATCAGCCGCGGGATTTTGAGCCCAAGAATAATGTTCACTCTTTTCCTGTACATAGTATGATAAAGTATGAATGGCTTACGCTGAGCTTGTCCAAAAAGAAATTGTACTGTTTCCATTGTCTGCTTTTTACTGATCGATCAAGCACTGACAAGGATTGGTCATCAATCACGTTCACTGTCTCTTTGCCTTTCTCTCTCTCTCCCCCCCCCTCTCTCTCTCTCTCTCTCTCTCTCTCTCTCTCTCTCTCACACACACACACACACACACACACACACACACACACACACACACACACACACACACACACACTCACACAAACACGCACAGGGAGACTCGCAGAGGCAATAGAAAGAACAGATCACACCAGAGCGCCCGTCTACCGCTCATTACAATTTTAATAGTAGCTAGTAAACCTATTGCCCATTTGTTCACTTTCCAATTATGCACCACCTTGTCTGCAACCCACGCGACGCCACTGGTTGGAAAGCGGGGAGGCACAGGGGTGAGGTGTGATCTCGAAGGGCTAGAGCACCCAGGGATGGCAGAAGCCTTCCAAGCCATGATGGAAGGAAAGTTTGCACCACTCATTGTCATTGATGCTAGTGGCAACAATAACACAGACATGGACACGTGGATCAACACCTTCAATACAGCAGTGACTGAAACAACCAGTCAGATCCTGGGAGAGCACCGGCGGGTCAGTGGGCCCGGGTCGCGGCTGCAGGCGTCCTTGGCCTGTGTTAGATCTGGCGGACGGGAGAGTGGCCAACGCCATGGACACAATCGCTGGTGATTGCACTCCCCGGGAAACGTTACCAGCAACTATGTCAGAACTACCGCACCATCAGTCTAATAAGCCACCCCAGTAAGGTTATGTTGAAGATAATGCTGAGCGGATTGAGACCGCAGGCAGAGAAGATCATTGCCGAAGAGGCGGCAGGCTTTAGGGCAGGGCGCAGCACGGCAGAACAGATTTTCAACCTCAGAATACTGTGTGTGGGGGGTACCTCAGGCACCAACAGGACCTATGCCGTGTCTTCGTGGGTTTTAAGAAGGCCTTTAACAGGGTCTGGCGTGCAGCCTTATGGGCAACCATTTGGAAATGTAACATCAACGCCAACCTGATCAACGTCATACAACAACTATGTGACAAGGCCTCCAGCGCAGTCTACCTTAACGGCAGCATGGGGGGTTGGTTCAGGACAACGGTCGGGTTGATGTGGGACTGTTTGCTCTCTCCCACTCTCTTCGACACCTTCTTGGGGCGAATCGTGACTGGCACTCTGGTGGACCACAGAGGAACAATCAGTGTTGGAGGCAGGAAAATCACTAGCTTGCGTTTTGCCGATGGCGTCGATGGGTTGGCAGTAGAGGAACAGGGGCTCGCCACACTAGTGGAGCGGCTGGACACAACCTCAGGAGCCTGCGGCGTGGAGATCAATGGCGAGAGGGTCAAGCTAATGAACAATGGCCCCGGTGGCATCAAAGTCAGGGGCGAGAAACTTGAGACCGTCGGCGGCTTCAAATACCTTGGGTCAATCGTCTCGGATAAAGGTGCGGGACCAGAGGTTCTCTCCACAGTCGCGCAGACAACAGCTGCGCTGTCAAAGCTGAAGCCTGTTTGGGGGGGGCAGGGACGTCGCCCACAAACTCAAGGGCCAGACTAATGCGCTCACTGGTCATCTCAATATTTTTATACGACTGCGAGTCGTGGACACTGACAGCAGAGTTAGAGAAAGGGGTTCAGACCACAGGGATGAGATGTTGCGGCAGACTCCTTGGCGTCTCGTACAGGAACCACGTTTCAGAAGCTGAGGTGTGGGAGAGAGTCACCGGCGCGGTGGGGCAGCGTGAAGATCTTGCCAAAGCGGTCCTGCAAGGGGCCGTGCAGGGAAAGAGAGAGACAGGAGGGCGGAGAAGGAGATTGGAGGATAACATTGCAAAGTGGACGGGAGAGGCGATGGGTGACAGTCTGAGGAGGGCAGAGGACAGGGATGGATTGCGAGAGCTGGGTTTCAGGTGCAGTGGTGCCTCCACGGTTGCCCCAACAGCGGAATAGGGGAAGAAGGGGGAGCGGAAGATTACCTAGTCTTTATCTTGCTATCGGACACATTATACATAGTGCAGTTAAAAATTCAAGGCGCAACTTGTCCTCAAATGTCTATTTAACGGTTGAATCATTGTCACCAGTACCTTGCACAGCAGTTTATATCAATTTATCTTAACTTAATCATGTTTTTCCACTACAATTAAGCCATTATTTTTAAAAAAACTTTAAAAAATTAATTTATATATTAAATGTACTATACAAATCTTCTTCACGCGGAAAATGGAATTGCTCATATTATACGCTTCCCGCTTATCTCACACACATTTTGTTTACGCATGGCTCACGTTACAGCTCACCTATGACCCTTTTTCACTGGCCAAACTAGTTACAAGAAATTAATTTTATAGTGAACACTTTTTTGCAGTAAAAGTTCTCAAAACATGCGTTCAATAAAGATGATCTCGCGTTTAGAAAAAAACAAGACAATCAGCTTTTAAAAGCGATATTGTCCCAGCTGTAAACCTTTTAAAAATCAGTAGAAACCACCCACTGGGATTTTTTATCAGTAATACTTATCAAGGAATGATTTAGAATATAGCTAACATGCAGGTCGAGTTTGCAAAAACATTAAGACAAATTGATACAAGCCACTGTGCAAAAGCAGGAGTCGAGTTTATATTCCATAGCCGAGGAAATATATTTGACAATAAGATCCGCAACGAATTTTTGACCGCACTAAAATGTGCAGAGTAAACCTGTTCCAAACAAGGGTAGGTGAGTCTGATAAGATATGTTTGCGCCGCTCTTTCTCACTTTAAACAAATCTTTGTTCAAGTCAAACATCTGTTGTATCAATCCTTACCCAGTTTTTTGCCATCTAGCCCGATCAAATTCCTCTGAAAGTCTAAAATGCTGTGGTCCTCCGAACCATGTTGTACGGCCTCGAGACCTGGATGGTGTACCAAAGCCCTGCCAAGAAACTAATTGATAATTTATAAATGCTTCAGGAAAATTTCTCTTTAAAAGGCAGAATCCGATAAAATACCAAACGCCGAAGTTCTCAAAAGGGCAAATGCTACGAGTCTAGCTGATTTCTTTCTTTTTTGTTTTTGGTAAGTGTTTTACGGCGCTCCCAATTGCATAGGAGGTCATGTGAGCGCGCGGAACACATTAAACTTTTTCAATTGGTTGGACATTTTGAATTTTGCTCAGGTGGCAGCCGAAACCTTCTCTAATCGATTTTAGACCACAGGGATCTTTAACGAGCGCAACTTTCACACGGACCCTCCCATATCTTTTGCCCTTGTCCGAGAAGGCTAGGTGTAGATCTTTCCTACCATAAGACCAGGGATGTGGCTGAAAGACAGCAGTAAGAAAGAACCAAGGAGTAGCAGTCGAAAGGCTGCAGAAAGAGTCAGGAGCCGCCAGAGGAGGGGGTAAAGGAGGTGAGTCATGAAGGGGTGGGGGCTGAAAGAGGAGACGAAAGCAGACGACATAACATTGCTAGGGAGCAGGAAAGGAGGTGAAAGGAGACAATTTTAGAGAAGAAAATTTTTCGGTCGCTAAAGGGATTCGAATCCGGGACTTTTGAATAAGAGGCGAACACCTTAACCTCTAATTCGTATAATTATAGTTCCCGACAGACGCAGTTGGAGCAAAGTAGTATAACAGAAAATCTTTGGTTGGAGTGCCGCAGTCAAAACTGGTGGCCCGAGCACTTCAGGAATAAGAAATGCTGAAACCAACAGTGGCCCGTAATTTTAAGCTGACCGCACATCCACGCGGAAGTGTGTGTGTGTGGGGGGGGGGGGGGGGGGGGGCTTTTAGAATGCTTAAATTGTAACAACATTTTCTCTGTTAGAATTGATATCTGCCACAACAGAAGCAAAAATAATCTTAACTCTTATAATTCTTCTATTTCACTTGAGAAATACATATTCTCCTCTGCAGATGCACTGATGATAAAACATTAACTGACGAAATAGTAAAGGGTATAATAATAATAATAATAATAATAATAATAATAATAATAATAATAATAATAGTAGTAGTAATAATAATAATAATAATAATAATAATAATAATAATAATAATAATAATAATAATAATACATTAACGCTCCGAGGTATATTATAAAATAATAGCAATATATGTATAATCAATGTTTATTAACCTACATGACTTACTCTCTCCTTTTACTACCGTCAGTTACACAAGGCGGAGAGCAGTCGACGCACGGTTGTTTGTCACTGGCACCTGGCCACGTTCTCCAATTTCGGCAAATGCAGGCCCTGGGTGATTGCCTCATCCCTTATAGTGCCTCTATATAGCTTCCAATTAATGGTCTCTTTTTTTTCTTTTTTCCAGTTGGTTTCCAATACCATGTCTGATTGGGCATATAGGTCCGTCTTCGGCATTCTTAGTAATCTTAGAACATGTCATCATAGATATCGACATCTTCATCAATGTTTTTTGGTACAACATGAATAAAGGAAATACTAGACAGGATTATACATGCGTATAGCCTAGAAGCAAAATCATTTGAAAAGTATGGATCGAATAAAACACGATAAACAATCCAAAGGAAATAAAAAGATACTGTCACAACATAAAGTATCGGTCTATAAAAACAGAGTAGATCTATTTTAAAATAATTTATGGTACTAGAAATATTCAGAGGTATCACAGTGATCTAGTTCTAGCACTCTCTCTCTCTCTCTCTCTCTCTCTCCCTCTCTCCCTCTCTCTCTCTCTCTCTCTCTCTCTCTCTCTCTCTCTCTCTCTCTCTCTCTCTCTCTCTCCCCTCGACCTCTATGATACCTCTCTTTATTTATCTCTTATTCTTCTCTCGCCTCTCTCTCTCTCTCTCTCTCTCTCTCTCTCTCTCTCTCTCTCTCTCACCTTTTGTCTTAATTTTTCGTCCTCGTGCCGCAGTAGCGGTAAAATATAGACGTTCTATAGATACGGCCTAGGCCTGATGTTTCAACTTTTCTTGAATAGGATCTATAAATGGCTTAAATGGCTACCCTGGTGTTCTGGGGTAACTTGTTCCCGACTTTTGGCCCAAAATGAAAGAAAGAGCACGCTGATAGTTTATAATGGCTAAAAAGGTTCAACTATAATAATTTTTATTGTAAGCAGATCTTAATTGCCTCGTAAGTGTACGCATAAATAACACGCGGGATCGTTAGGCCGGCCAATTCTTATTATAGCTTACATATACTTACATATTGATGAATATAAAATTTCTCATACAAGATTTTAAATAAATATTTTTTTGGTACTTCCCTAAGTTGGACCCAAAAGTACTCACTTTGACTTAACAACGTTTTAAAATGCATGGACCCTAGAAGCTAAAAAAATGACACTATAGTCACTTAAAACTTACGGGAACGCAAGGTACAGAAAACTTAATTTCCACGTGCCCTTGACGTACTGAGGCCCCATTAATTTTAACTTTAAAGTGGAAGCATGTTTCTGCTTCAAAGATGTACACAAGGAGATAACTCTATGTTCTGCTTGCAACTATCGTTCATTTAAAAAATGAATTTTTTGTTTCAGTTTACTGTAATAAATTTCAAATTTTAGGTTGAACTTTGAGATTATCCCCCCCCCCCCCCCGAATGATCACCATATAATATTATTTATTATATTATAGATCTAATAACTGTTTTCCCACGTAATCCTATTTTTTTTCGAAGTTGCAATTGGCATGGGAATATAATTATTCATTGGCGTCATGGAAGAGAAATGAATCATATTGCTATTTTTTCCTAATTTATTTTGAGCCTTTTAGTTTTGGTAAAATTAGATTTATGATTCACCTACTGAGTGAAGCAACGATGACAATAGGATTTGGGTTGGAATAATTTGTCGAACACATGATAATAATGCTATTGTCAGTCTATTGGAATTGTGATCTTAATTGCCTAATCAAGGAATCTTTCAAGATATTTCAAGAAGAGTGTTTTTTTCCCCTTTTTATTGGTGGAGGGGGGAGGGGGTGGCTGAATAGGTCTAGCCTATCCTAAGAACTAAAAAAATCGAATTAGGCCTGGGCCTACATTGTATTCTCAGGTTTGTTGCCGTTTGATAGGCACATAGGCCTAAGCGACACTTCGGTGAGAAAACAGACAACCACTAGACAACTGTATTGCCTGGCTGGCCTACCTTTAGTTTTCCTTTTCAACTTCCGGTTCCGAGAGAACGGTAATGCTTAGTGTTGAACTCATTCTTTATTGAAATTTATCTGCTCTGATCCTCTTAAATACTCTACGATTTTGTGCAAAAAGAAATGTGATTAAACATTTGTGAAACCAGTTAAACCATCGACCCTTATATTTTTGCCAATTTCAAGATATTCATACTTAAACAGGCGATCTACTTCTACCTCTGGTTTGGTGTCTTCTCCTCACAACAAAGTACATGTAGTCACTGATTTCGCATTGTAACAACGATATTTTGTTGCAGTCTGTCATAGTTTTATCATTATTATCATATTAGCCTATTCTTGTGAATATCGTAGAATCCACAAGAGTCACCCAGGATGAAAATAGATGCTCCCGGTATTTAGACAATTTAGTTTTAGGAGTCAAAATAAATGGCAAATGCTAATGGGATCTTCATTTGTGTGTCCGACCTCCTAGTCAGTCACACTACCACTAGATCTAGATCTAGATCTAGATCTACACTTCGTCCTCAGCCTCACCTTTCAGAGATAGATCTATATCTAGATCTAGATCTAGAGGTAAATTTTTACTTTCACTCCCGCACACAGATGCACTGTTTCAGGGGTCAAACTGCTGTACTGTTTGCTGCAGATCACACATAAAGTAGCCACTAAAACGGTCGCAAATCAATTATTTTCAAGACAATTTCAAATCTAACTGTAAAATATCAAATTATGGGAGTGTCTACTGGGTTTGGTACTGGGATTTGCTGTTATTCATTTCCGGCAGATTTGCCCACCACTATTAATAAGATAGATCTAGATATCTAGATTCTAATTGTTTTCATCATAATTTGATAAAGACATGTGATGATTTTACTAATCTAACCTTTAAATGGTGTACTAACAACAAAATAGACAACTGGTAGCTGAGTGTGAGACGGGAGGGAAAGTAAAAAAATACCGATCTAGATTCTAAGTATTTTCCATTAGCCACCCTGAATACTGAGTACTGTGGTGTCATTTTCAAGTTGTACACTTCTCTTGGGTTTTAATGTGTAGGCCAACTGGGTAGGCTAACTAGACTCGGCACTACTTGGATATGGTGGTCCCGACTTTTGTGTAGTGTAGGCAACTGAAATATCGATACTGATTCAAATAGTTGGTATCAATGTTTTATGTTTTATCAGTAGCCTAGATCTCTAAATCTAGATCTAGATCTAGATCTAGCCTACAAAATGAGCAGTAAAATTTCACTTGTTTTTCACAAAGCAACGGGGGTTACCCCCCTGACTTAAAAAAGAACAAAACGTGGGGTGTTTCAGAGGGGCATCTCTGAATTTGACCATGATTTGATGTTTTTTGCAATTAGATTTGAAAGGCTAGAATCTATCTCTCCGGCACGCGAATCAAAAAGTAATCGTTAAGAGTTAGACTTAGAACCAGAAGTAGAAGTAATCGTTCTAGATTTTCTCTAGGTTATATTTCCCTGTCACAAAAGTCGGGACCACCATATCCAAGTAGTGCCCTAGACTCTTAAGTCTACAACTAGATCTAGATATATATACTATCCTGCCCTTGGCGCGACCAGTTCCCCATTTTTCCTTCTGTGCAGCTCGTGTGCAATCTGTTTTATTAGAGTTACGAGCCTTGTCTAGTTCCACTTTTAGTCAATCCTTTTCCGAGAACATCAGTCGTCTGCTAGTGCAGCAGTCGAGTTCGAAGTGAAAGGCTTATCAGAAACATTCTTAGACTTAGAGGTTTCTTCAGTTACTAAACTAGAGTAGCTGGTCCAACCCGCGACCACTTGTCTCTGTACCCTCTGTTATTAATAAGTAGTGGCAGGCGGATTTGCTACTTGGTTTTGGGATTTGCTGGTACTTCGTTTGAGTGAGACTACCCAAAACCTGGAATCCCAAATCTTTGAAAAGTACGAAACAGAAGTTTTGAAATATATGCTGGCTTAATTTCTAAACTGAAATATCTGAAAATAATATTCAAATACTACAAAACCTTGTATGCGATAAGTAAACTAGATCTAGATCTAGTATCTAGTCCTTCAAAAAATGTACCAGTAAATCGACTAAAAATTGATCACATGGACTTGTTTCCCCTCCGCTATACATTGGAATAAGCTGGAATCAACTTGCGACGAAAGGACGAGTCCATTGTACTTTCTAAAGGGGGGACACTCCTACTCACTTGGCTGGTACTGGGATTTGGGATTTGCTCTGCGCACCCACTACTTGCTCCAGAGTAGTTACCCAGGCCTAGGGGTAGTCGCTTCTCACTCTCCCACTACCAACTACCAGTACGAAAGCAAATCCTAAATCTACGGCTGGGCCGCTTGTGCCGACAGGCTTTTGACGTGGGGGGTGGGGGTGGTGTTGTTTGTATCGCTTTCGCTTGGGCTGTTGGGGAAACTAGATCTAGACTCTAGATCTAGGCCTAATTGGATGAAGAAAGGGTGTTTGAAAAGTTTGAAAGCAGCTGTCTCGTGTCTAAACACATGTGTTTGTCTATGCCCTGCCCTGTGGTGCTCTGCTACTTGGTTTTGCTCCTGCTACTCAAGGCAGCGCAGCGGACTCAAGAAGGGGAGTATACTCTCTACTCAGGAGTCCCAGGATTTGGGTTTGGGAGTGTCTACTGGATTTGGTACTGGGATTTGCTGTTATTCATTTCCGGCAGATTTGCCCACCACTATTAATAAGACAGATCTAATTGTTTTCATCATAATTTGATAAAGACATGTGATGATTTTACTAATCTAACCTTTAAATGGTGTACTAACAACTTTCTTGCACCTGTAATATCTGTGCGCTCATGGTCGCGCCCTGTTCCGTATGCGGTCGCGCTGAGGGCATGCGGTCGCGCCAAGGGCAGAGCATTGACATGTTAAAATGCGAAATCTGTGAATGACGTTTTGGAATGATTGACGATATCACAGTATAAACCGGAACTTTGAAGCGGCCCTGAACA